CCCATTTACCTAGGTGGCTAATCATTGTAAACCTGCATTTGCTATGTTTATTCCAACAAGATGACACTTTCTATACAAACCACGTAGAGACAATCTTAACCACCTGCTTGTCAAGCAGTTCAGCGCCTGCCACATCTCCCGCACAGCTTTGGGTTAGCTAGTTCAAGTGTTCCCGGCCCTACACAAGTCAAATACACTTGTACTCATGCACAGTCAGTGCATGTGTAGATATTCTGTCTGGTCATTCCCAAGGAATTCGACATTTGAGTTTAATCTGTCTTATTTTGGAACTGCCCAATTGTCCTTTCTGATCTTAAGCTAGGTTAATTAACAGAGCAGCAGATGGAGGACATCCAGTAATCACTGCAGCAAAGCTTTAACACTTAAAAGATGTTGCTTTCACCAAGTGTAATCTGAATGTAGGTAATTAAAATGCTTATCTCGGCGCATTAACACCCCACTACTCGCAGTGACTCGTCAATGTGGGAACCACTGAACTAGCTAACCGGCTGATTAGCTAGTTAGCACTGCACCACAGACACAAAGAAAATGACGTTAGCTGGCAAGCTAACACGCTAACCAAGCGAAACGAAAAGCCAGACTAGGCTAAATTATTATCTTAACGCTCACTTCACGAAGTAATTGTAACCTACGACAGTCAATTGTGAAATAATGTTAAAGTTAACGTTTGTGAACTGGACTATTTGTCGTTACTAAATGACGAGCTAACCAAGGTGGTGACCGATGCTAACGGTACATTAGCTAACGGGCTAGTTGTTTCGGTTTGTGGCTAAGGCTTGCTAATGCAGTGAGGTCAGGCTGTGTAACGTTAGCGCAACATGGACGCTCTGTTGTATGGTTACGCATTCAAATGTGGTCATTCCCAGCCGGCTCCCTCCCGCGGTAGCATTAGCGCTAACGTTATAGCAAAAACCGACACCCAGCCACAGTCCATCCAGCCAGTCACATTTTCATAACCAGTTCAGTCGACTCACCCTCAGTAGCCTGGTCCCCGGGCTCACCGTCCTCTGCCTCGATTTTCTCCATGTCGTCCACATCTCCCTTCAGCATGGGATCCATTTCGTCGTCCTCTTCACCGTCCCCGTCCCCGTCCCCGTCCTCTTCCCCCTCACCCATCTCTTCGTCCTCGGCAACGGCATCACCGTCGCCGTTGCCCCCATTTTCCGGCTCTTCTTCTTCTTCTTCCTCCTCCTCCTCCTCGTTGGCCTCCATGCTTTCTTCTATCGGGCCATCGCCCTCTTCTTCCTCTCCCATACCTTCTTGATCGGCGGCCTGGCCGAAGCCCTCGTCCGCGTCCGCCGCAGCCTCTTGGTCCAGCGGGGAGGCGAGGGCCTCCTCGTCCAGCGCGGCCTGCAGGCGGTCCATCAGCTCGGCCTTCAGCCCCTTGTCCGAGAGATTACGCTTTTTCAGCTCGTCCTTCAGCTCGTTCACTTTCAGCTTTTTAACGTTAATTGAGCTCATTGTGAATGTTTGACGGCGAGATGTATCAAATAAAAAGCACAAATACCACGATAAATAAATAACTGGACGCCCTTTGTTAACGGATGTAGCTCAAATCTGCGCCAAATGGCACCCGCGCTGTCCGACCAATCTTTCACCGGTAAAAGAGCTGTGCAGAGCCTGCGGTGTGGGGGAGGAGGATGACGTCCCCTACCGTAATTACCCAAAGAGCAACGCAGCTTGGTTATATAGGCCGCCGACCATCTGTCACTGCCGTAATAACAAAAAACAATCCCACACAAAGCGTTGTTGTGGAAAAAGTGGGACAAAAAAACCCACACTAACAACACATTACTCAGATTATCTTTATTTGCAAAATGTGTGTATGTTTGGAAATATGTAAAAAAAAATATTGCACGATGCATTTTAGATGGGGAGTGTGTTTAAATAACCCAGCATCATGCTTCTAGCAAGAGTATGAGGATACGATACAGAATACCGTAATGTACAATGTTATTTACCTTAATTAATGTAGGACAAATGTTCCTTGTACGAAATAGGCAGTATAGTGTAAACATCTGTGTCTTTCAAGGGAAAATAGAAACCTAAATGATTAATTAAAAAAAATATAGAGGAGAAAATAACTTTTGGTTCAGGTTTTATTTTTTATCTTTTACAGCTTGAGAAAGAAGTTGTGTAATGTCTACTGTTGCTCTCCAGTCTGAGAAAATAACCTTGACCGGTACTAGGGACTGAAAGCCAGAATATCTCAGCCTCAATCAATCAATGGTTCTATTGCCCCCCTTCAAGCTTCAAGAAGGGCAGTACTAAATTGCTGGAATAACCCTTTCAACATTTTCTGATACTGCCTCCGCCTTATGTTGTAATTTTAGAACAACATGTGTGCAGACTCTGACACTCTGTTCTGCATAATTCAGTAAAGTTGTATTTGTAAAAAAAAAAACCTTGCCTCTTCTTCCTGATCCTTAGAAAGATGACCTCAAGCGCTTAACTATAACATCTTAAGAAGGCACACTGAACATCATATTAATGTACCTACACTTCCAGTATTCAAGTATTTTAGGAGTTTCATGTCTTCACCGTCCATGCATGCAGCTTTATGTGACTGTAATAAGGTGCACAGTATTGTATATGAATGACTATTATGTAGGAGAGGAATTCAACTTTGAAAAGAAAACATTACTATATCAAGTGAAACCCATTAACAAACCGTGCAACAGCCTGTTCTCTCTGACCGTTTTTTGAAGAACACTTGCTCCTTACTGCCTCCCTGAGGAGGTTACAATAAATAACCAAGTGAAATCCTGAAGTGTTGTCCAGTGCGCTCACTCTTTCTCTGTGTCAGTGTCATCACCCCAGCTCTGAGACGCTGTCTCCAGCCTGCTTACTTTGTCATATTTTTCATTCAAGCTCACCATGAGTGAAATATTTTTTCTTTATATCCATGGAGCTTGGGCAAAATTAAATAAAAGTGCAGTCTGCCTTTGTTCGGATATCTTTTTAAATATTAACAAGTTGTCATGTCATCTCTGACTGGAAGAGGAGAGAGATTTCCTGCCTCGGTCAGAGGAACACACTGGGTAAGTCACATTTATTCATTATCAGCACAATTTGTTCCCACTTGTAAAAGACTGCATGGTCTTTATAGAGTTGGATATAAGAAGAATATTGTTGCACTGCAAGGCAAACAGTTGGGTGTGGTTACAGTTGTCCACGTCGATTGACATCTAATTTCCCACTGCCAGAGCCCACATACATCCTTCTTACACTGATTTATTCCTCAGAGCTCAGAAGTGCAGCATCACTGTGAGCCCGTCGGCTTTTCTGCAAGTATTAACGGGAAAGACCGCCAGCCCAAGCAGCGCCCTACTCCTGAGGGTGCCGGGGGGACCAGGGGCGACCCACATCGGAATATGTGCCAGAGAGCAGACGCTGTCCCGTCTTACAAGTCCCTCCCTGGAACCTTGGGAGACCGCATCAGGAGTACTATGTCCTCCGGTAGTGGGACTATATGTAGGGGCACTATGTTGGCGAATCCTGGCTTTGGGAGATGTGAGAGGAAAGTTGCGTGTTGCGAGAAGTGCTCAGCGACTCTCGTTGCTCTGAAGAAGCAAGCTCTGAGCCTGGCTGTCCACCATCACTTCTCCTGCAAGGTCAGTAACCGTGATGGAGCTGCTCAGGGGTGTAGTGGACCATGAATGCACTTAAGATCAGTCTGTTCTCTTATAGGCTGATACAAATATTATTGAGGGGGAAATATTGTTAAAATAGTAGGCTATTATATATAGATAAATATATAACTTGATTCAAGTAAACGCACCTCAGCAGGTGGTGGTATGGGGTAGAGTCTTAATAGCTGATGGTAATAGAAATGTGCATATATAACTATACTTCTGATGGAATAATAGTTACCATTGTTACCAAATGTAAGATACAATTCATGATACTCGGTTCACTGTCGATGTTTAAAAAACAAAATGTGATTGAAGATGACTAAAAAATATTCCTTTGTTTCTCAGACATAATCAATATATTTTCTCTTATATATTTTTCTTTATCAATTTATAGTATCCTTTTTATTTCTGAGGTAGTGTATAAACTGTGCAAAACAGTGCATATTTCCGTTTGTGAAGGGAAACTGATGACTTTGCGCCTTGATACCACGTAACATATTTGTATCACGGTTTAACTGTATCCATAAACCTGTACATTCCTAATTTTTATTGAAAAAAATTAAAATCAACTTTTCTGTCTGAATTTTGGTGAGAAGAAATGACCAATTTGGTGGGGCGTAGCAGAACAGTGATATTAGTGTAGTGTTTAGTAATGTAACTAATTGCTATAGGCAGGGATTAATAAGTAAAGTAATAAATTACGTTTAAAAAGTCTAATGAATAATGACTAATAAATTAAAAATTTCAAATAACTAGCCCAACACTGCTTGTGAGTATTTGCAGTTTTTTATAGTCTGCCATGATAGTAAATGGTTAATCTTAAAGGTTCCAACAACAATGATGTTAAGATGCAGAGGCCAACAGGAGGCTGTACTTTAGGATTAGACTCATATTATATTCTAGTTGTTTGCTTTAATACATTTTAAAGTAGGGAAACAGAGAGACGGTACACTGTTTGACATATTGTACCTAACTACAGCACATTCGAGAAACACCACATGGACAAACCAAACACAGACTGTGGCACACTGTAATAATAATGGCAATTCCCTAAGTTTACCCATGATTATGATTACATTTTAATGGTAATTTTGGATGGAGTAGCGTGGTTGCTTACCATAGCATAGAATGTTTTTACATATATATATGTTTCTTTATATATCAGTCTATGGGGGTGGGGGTCATTTTGAGCATATTTGAATATTGTGGATGAAGTGTATTGTAATTACTGCCTTATTTGGAGAGTTGGTCCAACTGGGAAATGGTAATGGACATTTTTTTATTTTCAGACATTTTGAAGAACAAAGCATTAACCAATTAACTGAATAAAAAACAAAGCAAAAATAATTAGTTGTAGTTCACATAGACTTTGTTCCTAAAACTGCCACTTTGAACACATTATCTGACTGTATGTGTGAGTGCTGTGTGTTTATGTGTTTTAGTACTCGTGTGGGCACATTTGTCTTTACAGTGCTGCCTCTGGGAGGTATGCACACCATCCATCTGCACATTTGTCACCACTAACATCCATCAAACACACTCCAATCGACAAAGTAAACCAGTGCCATTCTTGCGCGAGTGGTTTCAAATGGGCATGAATATTTCATCTCCGACATCCATGTGTCATCTCCACAGTCCTCTCCATTGAGGGAAGACTATTTATTTTTGTCCTCTTAAGTGGGATGGGGCACAGCTACAGTAGCTTCATGTTTTTAGAGGAAGACCACAGGCCAGAGGAGTACACAGCGTGAGCTGGAAAGAGATCTTGTGGCCACCGACATGGTCAGTAGAAATCTGATAAGCCAGCTAGCTCTTTGCAGGTTTATTGATCCGAGTGTGAGTTCTCAAAAGCATCGTGGTTCTGTAATGTCATCTTTTGAGATGGGCCTACAATCTGGCTAAGATGGAAAGTCCAGTTACCCATCTGGCTACCACAGCGCATTTCTTCCTTCATATATCTATTACTTATTTCTATTTGAGAAAGGCAAGATACACTAAACTGGAAATTAATTTTTCAGGTGATAGAATTTGTTTATGTTTATGTAGAATAAAAAGAATATATCAAGACATATGTGGCTTAAGTACCCCTGGATATTATTTTACAGAAGACATAAATTCAGTTTGTGATGTCTCAGCACTTTTGGAGTTTTAATGGGTTTTGTTTTACATAATTATTGAGAGCTCCTACAGCGCTCATCTGGGGGAATATGGGTCACTGGCAATGTGTTGGCAGCTTGCAGGATGGATGGATGGATGGATGGAGGAGGGAGTGAGCGTGTTGGATGTTGGTAGGTGTCAAGGGCAGACCAAACAGGATGTGACACAAGAGTGTCTGTCAGGATGAAAAGCGACATGATGGTTTGATTTGTTTGATGTTCATAAATTTGACAGACTGGGTCCAGGCTGAGAACTCAGATGTCAAAAACACCTTTTATAGTAGTAGAATTTAAACCTTTTCAAATGTCATGCTGTCAGGATTCTCTAAATGAAATTTGATTATTATGTTCAATCTAGATAACAACTGTCCATTAAAGTCTCATTAAATTATCCTCAAATGATTCTGCAAATGATTGAATGGCTGTACAGTACTCATTCACAGAGTAAAGCATAGCTGTATTCTATTGTTTATATCATTTTATAGCAGTACCATACCTGTGCTGTGGCCAGGGAGTAATATTTATTCTTTGCTTCAGCAGGAAGATGAAAATGAAATGCTTCTTTAACCAATGATGTGTGGTAACATTGAGATTCATAACACTTTCTAGTTTATTTTAAAGGTACAGTAAGTACATTTGTTTTGCTTACTGCTCATATAAAGATAACAGGGGTAGTATTGATCAGTCCTACTGACTCTATGATTACTTCGCTAAGTGCTAAGATTGCTTTCACTGCTTTCCCACGACTCAATTTCCATATGCTCAGTGATCATTTATATAATTCTCGAGCCAGAAATCAAACAAAGCAAATTATGTCTCTTGATGAATCTCTGATCTTATTTGGTCAGTCTCTGTTGAAAAAATTGCAGGCAAGTAACTACTTCAAACACCTAACTGCAAACTATAAAATTATTTCTGTTACTTCTCTGTAATTTTGCAGGACTCTGGTGACCTGTCTGTGTTTCTTCATGACAACCTTCGTGTCCATAGTCGGTCCACCAATGAGCCCAGGGACAGAGAGAGGGAGCAGGGCGAGTGTGGAGCCTGCGGTCTAAACCTGAATCAGCTCAAACAAGAGGCCGTCCACTTAGCTCTGAGCAGGGGTCAGTCATTAGCTAAGCCTCCCTTTGAACACAGCTTTAGCACTGGTACACTGCTGGGACAAAGTGAGACAAAGCATGGGGAAAGGGCTCCAAGGGAAGCGGCCACGGCTGTGCATCAATCGCGCAGTCGCACCCACAGTCCTCACAGCCCGAGAAGCCCGAGGACGCCTCAGAGGACCCCTCAAACCCTCAGACGGAGGGGGCCCAAGCTCCCCAACCCTGATATGGACCGCTGGGTAGAGGAGCAGCAGCAGATGGTTGCTTCTAAATCTGTGTCTAGCACTGATGGTCACACCATCTACCCTCACCATCAGGTACCCCTAAAAGCCTTCTCCTACCACTAAATCACACATAACACATCCCCTAGTGTGCATTCCCCTTTTAATGAGCTATATGGGTAAGGTATGTCTTTACGGGTGCACGTGTCAGCAAAGCAATGATTCATAGTGCCTAATCAGGGCCTATTTAGATCCTACGGCTGAGGACGTAGTTTAAAGTACTTTTGCTAATGGAATGGAATTGGGTCATGATTTACCATCATAAAAGCCAGCCAGTCAAAAAGCACTTGTGATCAATAGGGGGATGGTCATATTTAACAGGGCGGCTGGTGAAATATGCATTACTGTGATGGAAGCCACAGCAGACTGAGCCCGCCCTCCCCCAAGTCCCCAATGAAAAAGGTTATAAACCTGTAGAAGGTGAGTGAGAGTCTTGAGATGTTTCATATGATGTTGGTTCAACTTGGGTGGGTTTTTACTGCTGATCAAAATATCATTCCTTAGTACATGTAGATATCATGTGATCTGGTTGACAGAGAATTTTCATAGACATCATAACTAACTGTTCACTATACCCCTCCCTGGAAGAACAATTGTACAGTTATAGGTTAGCAACCATAACTGAGCACATAATGAGGCAGTGTACATAGTATGAGGGACACTCCTTATGTAGAGTTAAAAGGGTGGTGTCTAGTCTAAGTGCCAAACTTTAGCATCTCCGGCTAGCTATAGCGTACTTAAAGAATGTATTTTGTATTTTTGTTTTAGTTTTTTGCAATAAATAAATTCCCCTGTGGCTCACAAAGCATATTCCCCATAGAACAGCATTATAAAAACATGTTGGTAAAACTGCTGACAGGACACCACAAACTGCAAACAAGGTCAATTATAACTCTTTCTATTATGACTTTTGGATTTTAGAGGTTTGATCCTTAACAAAGTCTAAGGGCCAAGTGGGAACTTGCGGGTGGAGCCAATGGAATAAACACTTTTGTGCAATATATTTGAAGATCCCCATCCATATCTGTTATTCAGTTAATGTGTTACGTTTTTCCTCTTGTAACATTAAAAAAACATACTCTTTGAAAACATGGTAAACATTGCTAGCATTAGCTTAATTAGCTCAAATTAGGCAACCTGAAAATTGATGGTCACCAGCTAGAAATGAGAAGCTGACTTTTGTCTACTTCTGTCTGAAATCGAAGACCTATTAAAAATTACAAAGAATTTCTAATGGTAAAGCTGCACCGCTGGGCCAGAGAAAGCTTGGCGGCATAGCAACAGTAACTGCAGGGGGTGGGGCTCAGCGAATGATCAGTTGGACTGAAGTACTGGACTGGAGAGCAATATTGTAATTAACCTGTTATTCTTAATTGACTTGTCTAATCAAATTTAACAACAACATTTAAACATCTTACTCAAATGAAAGTGTCCTGGGCTTTATAAGACTGTATGAGAAATTAGCCAAGCGGGTCCAGTATGAGAGCAGATCAATACAGGTTTATGTGGCTGACTTGAAATAATACGTGAGGAGTGAAAGTGGAGGATGAAGAGTGAGGAGGGAGAGTGAACAAAAAGGAGGGCGGAAGAAAAATGAATAGCAGAGGACGAGAAAGGGAGATTAAGTGTTTTAAGATGGGAGGCAGGAGAAAAGGCTGGAGAGAAATGATGATTTAGAGAGATGAGTGGAGGGCGGGAGAGGAAAGATAATAACAAGAGATAATAATAAAAGACCACATGAGAGCAGATGCATAGAGACATCAGAGCACAGAGAAAGAGAAAGTGAAGATACAAGAAGGCTATGACAGAAGATTCTATTCAACAAGAACACAGGAGGAGGGACGGGGGAGTGTCTATACATTATCCATATTACCTTTGGCTACATATATTAACTTAGCCCTGTCTTTATCCTCCTCCCAGTCTCCTTCAGGACTACTGCACTAATTTGCAGTTAATGGTTGGACATTATTAAAAGAAAAAACTGAGCTGACATTGTTATCTTGCCCTAAAAAGAGCTGAGACACTGATGAGACGGTATGAGAGCACTGTAATCCGGAGATGTTGGCTCAGTGGCCTGCGGCGAGGCTCGCCGACTTCGTGTTGAGCAGTAGCTTGCTGAATAGGTCATGTTGAACACACACCGCACAGTTATGAATGAGTTCAAAACACACACCTCGGAGCTACAGCTGCGCAAGTGTTGGAGTTGCCTTACGTAAAGTTGCTCGATTGAGGGTGTGTGTGTGTGTGTGTGTCAGAGGCAGTGACCGTATGTTTGCTGCACCTCTTCAACTCTGAGTCATGTTTTAAACTCAGACAGCAGTCACTATAGCAGTCACATACTATTCCTCACACTCCACATGCAGCTAGCCAGAGCCGCAATAGAGCTAATGGCGTATATGTTTAACCCACTGTGCACTCAGCCTAGATGCCCTACTTAGACAGACGCACCCCACGCTTTTCCCCGGAGTAATTCCCGTGATAATAGCCCCTTTTGGAGTGGGTGCAGGAGTGCAATTACAGATTTGGAGTTTTTATAATGAGCTTTCTCCCCTAACAGGCAGCAGATGATGCTGCTTTGGGCTGTGGCGACGCTGGGATCATACAGACTAGCTCAAAGATCCCTCACATTGCCAGAGTGGTGACCATCGCCAACACTGCTGCTATGTCCCTTTTAGCCAGGTAAATACATCTATGTCTATATTATGAATATAGCAATTGTTTTGTTTTGTGTTTAAAGATGAGTTTTCTGCAGCATGTGTGTACTGGTTGCACCATAAGTGTCAGTGGTATGACTTCTTCCCTGTAGGGCGGCCGAGAAGCTCAACCTGACATTGAGGAAAAAAGGCCAGGCTTCTGATCCAGCTCCCGCTCATTTCTCCACCTGCTTCAGGGAGCTGATCCAGAAAAACCCACCGCCCGTCCCCTCCTGCCTGCTCCAAGCTGCCACTAGAACCAAAGACTCGCCCAATGTTGGCAAGGTAAACCACAGGGCTTCAAATTCCACTAGATTTAAAGTAAATGCAGATTGTTACGTTTTTTAGTGAACCACATTTGGTTTAGGTGCAATTGCTAATAATTCTTCGCAACTACCCTGATTTGAATTAAAATGTAATTCAAATTATTGGACTAAATTTAAGCTTTTGGTCAAAAAGTCTAATTACAGATCAGCATTACTTGGGGGAAGTTGGGGGTCTGTAGGAGATACAGAATATTAAATACTTACAGGAATAGTTTAACATTTTGGGAAATACACTTTCATTTAGATGAGAAGATTGATACCACTCTCATGTCTGTACGGTAAGTATGAAGCTATAGCCAGTAGTCAATTTAGCTTAGCTTAGCATAAAACTGCATGAGAAGCAGCACATAATTCCCCTTGAAACTACAACTTGTGGTTTTAACATTTAGGTTTGTATATGGATTAAACACATGAAATATAATCGGTTTATGCTAAGTCCAGACTTTACAGACAATAGAAAAAACTCAGACTTGTCTCAGACTTGGCCATTGGTCTCACCATATATTCTACTTGGTCTCGACCGAGTCTGGCAAAGTTTATTTTATTTTTTTCTGAAGTAACTACCTCCTTCAAAACAAAACCATTGATAATGGGCATTTTTAGAAAATGGGTTTAATATTGGTTTAATTCAAAGAATCTAGAATGGGCATTGGCATTGGCCATGGTTATCAGGCAGCCAGTCAACGTATCTTGCAATTGTATGCCTGGTTGCCAAAACTTATCTCATTGGCAATGGCAAAAGCTTTTTTGTTTTTTTGTCTCAGTAATTGACACTCTCTATCATTTGGACTTGGTCTTGACTTGGTCTTGAGTAGTCCTGGTCTTGGACTCGACAATGTCGGGACTACAACACTGCATGTAATTCTTGCAAGAAAGCGTATTTCCCAAAATTTAAAACTATTCCTTTTCACATTAGTTTTAGCTATTTCGAGAGGTTAAAGCCATCATAATCTGTTCTGTTCAGGTGAAATTACTTTTTCAAAAATCTCCAGGCTACAGTGTAAACGCTGCTAACAGTAGCTGACGTCTTTTGGACTATAACTCAAACAGCGTTTCTGTAACAAACGTAACACCTTTTTTTGTTTTGGTCTCAATAATAAATTATGATTTATTATCATATAGTTATGTTCAGAAACTAATCTTATTAATGTATACTCCATCTTTGATCACAGCACAAGCAGTAGCCCATTAGCTGCACTCACAAAGATCAGTGCAGCTTGGGTTCAGGGGTAAACAAATTTGAACTCTTGACTCTGTGCAGCAGATCATGTACATCAGTGGGACAGTTGCAGGGAAAAAATACACCACCTGCTCAATAATGGAAGAGGCACCCAACTTGTCTTTCCTCTATATTGTATGTCGTAAATACATATGACATGCATTTACTGTATGCTACAGTATATACACACATTCATATCTTAATATTAATTCCAATAGAAAATATACAAAAGTTCTACCAACAATCGTCTTAGAGTCGCCTGCAGAAACAAAGTAGTGTCAGAAGACTTTGACATTGACTTGATGAAGATCCTGTGTTACCTGGGCCACTTTGTATCTTATATTGTGACGTGTAAATACATAGAATAGGTCCGGATCGGTGGTGTATCTTTCAAACTCTACCATCCTCGTCCACAACCACCACCTTGGAAGTGTTTTTACCACCCTTGTTGCAGAGTAAAGAGATCACAGTCAATTTGGAGGAGATCCTATATCACACCTTCTTTATGATACACTGTAATGTGGTGCTAATGTCTCCATCTTGTTCCTCCCCTCCCCTCCACTCCCCTCCTCTGGGAGAAACTGGGGGAGATCAATATGGCTGCCTGCCCTCCCCTTGTCTCAGATAGATGGACTCTTGGGTTTAGTCTAGAGTTACAGATAAGGGCTCAGACAGACCCCACTGCCAGCCACACCTGCCTGAGCACTCAGCTCTGTGTGCCTCTGCGTGCCAGATTATGTATATGTGTGTGAGCGGAGGAGGATTTTCTCCGCTTCTAAATGGGTCTCTTGAATAATTTAACCCTCATAAATAGAGTTTGACACATGTTCAATAGAGTTAGGGAGCCACTTCTTGCATAAGGTAATAAAATTATGAGGGAGCTAAAAAAAAAAAAAAATCGTTTGCTTCGTTTTTAAACTGTCATGATGATGTCATCCTGGTGTAATGCAGTCCTGGACAATTTCAAGAAAACTACATTCGACTGGGTGTCATGGTGTGCAGGCATACTTGCAATCTTGCAGGCCTGAATCCTGATTAAGAATAATTTTACAATTGGTTTATAAACCTTAATAGAGCTTATTATCTTGTATGAGGTAAATGTTGCCTTGTCTTGCAGACTAAGACCTATGAGCCTTGTTAAATGCTGTCAGAGTCAGGATCTAACTTAATTTAAGACCTTAAAGCCTCTAAATCTTAAGGGCTTCCTGTAGAGAACTGCATTAAGGAATTAATGTCATGACATGCGGAAATATAGCAGGAGGTATGCATAGACATGCAGGTTTAAGTACATGTATGCTTTCACTGACTGAATCAACTGGTTGTCTACTGCAGCCTAAAGAAAACATGTCTTTATATCAATTTCACATTAAATTAAATTTCATTTTTGTATTTATAAAAATCAGTTGATGGCTGTGACGCACAAAAAAACAGATTGCCTCATATTTCTGCCAGCTCAAAAGATTTACAACAGCAGAGTACACTATCTATCGCTCAATGCTCAAACCTAATCCTTTTTGACATTTACTGCTTTGTTCCACCTAGGTTTCCCTTTTCCAGCCGAGGTTTCTCGCAACCCATGTTGCATAAAATAACGTCTTAGTCTCCCATGGCTGAGCAGCAGGGGCTCAGAGCTGAAGTCTGACTATTACTTCTCTGTCAAAGCTACGTTTGATATCAGGCTCCTGTGTTAAAACCCCTGTATGTATAAAGTTTTAAAACACTTTTAAAAAGCAGTGTATAAATAGAAGTAAAAAAAAAGTGCTGTAAGTGACAACATAACAGCTTACGGAAACATTTTGAAGATTTTGTGGCATGCATACAGTGTGTACATAGGGCTTTTTCGCTCATATGGTGCTCTGAGATTCTGGAAGACTCTTATGTCTAAAACTCACTGAATTTGATATGAAGATATTTTTGAACCATACTATTTTGAAACTCATTCTTTTTTCATAGGTTTCTGTTGCTTCTGCTGCTTGTGTTTAGTTACACAGGCTTCTTCTGCAATCTCTTACATACATGTTGCTCAGTAAAAGCAGAGCACCTACTCACCCCTTGCATTAAATAAAAGATGGAGTTTACTTTTCAAGGTGTCTCAGTGTAGTTTAAAACGTTTAGCCCTTTCCAGTATATGTGTATACAGTATGTATACAGTGGTAAGTGCAATACTAGTGTCTTCCCACAGCAACCCTTGTAAAAGGCATTTACTCTGTCAGCCTGTAGCTACTCACTAGCTGACTTAGCATTAGCTGGGGGCAGTATGAGCCTGTTCATTGTCAATCTATTTAATATATTTACATAATTAATGGGTGCTATTAATATGACTGCCATAACTTAAAACTTTGAAGAGTTGTTCACCTAAATTACAAAAAACCCTCTAGAGACCATATTCCCCATTTTGACACAAAATAGTACTGTAAACACAGGTGTTACAAATGACACTAATTAAGGTTCAGTTCCATTTAGTGCAGCAGAGCCTTTCCATTGAGCCGACATGCACAATAGCAGCACCTTGACTCTGTTTGACCTAAATGAAACACAGCCTCAATTATCACTGGTAACACCTGTGTTTACCTTACTATTTCATGTCAAAATGGCTACTATGAAAACTTTCTATGTCTACTGTAGCCATGCAGAGAGTTTCTGTTTCTCTCCGTCACTTCCCAGTTACAATGGCGGTAACAGTTGGTGCTTACAACATTGAAAGTTTACATTTGAACAAGACTTAAGAGTCAGAAACCAAAACAAACTTTGTAGCTGATGATGGCCTTAGAGGAAAAGCTAAGGTTCCACCCAAGATATTACAACCTTAAAATTGCGTACCGAATTTGATGGCAATCCAATCCAATGTGGTAGAACGACAGACAGACTGCAACCCCTAGAGCCATGCTACAGTATGTTTACCCCATCATATTTAAATTTTCTGTTGGTATTTAACAGTTCATAACATACTGTAATTTTCAACATGCTTCTATCCATCTTGTGCAGGTCAAAGTCGTTCTGAGGGTGAGTCCAACACTGTCAGTGGGCCAAGGCCAACCACCTGTTCTCCGGATTGACCCGTCCAAGAAAAGAGTCACCATAATGGAACCAATCAGCAAAAGCAAACCACACGCTACAATGACACTAGACAGGACTGGCAAAAGTCTTCTCAAGACATTCAACATTGATGCTGTCTATCCTCAAGAGTCAAGCCAGGTTTGGTTCTTCATCCTGATTACTGCTTAACATAATTCAAAAATATGGTTTTAAATGTGTCTACTTGTACTTACTTAATACGGATCTTGGAGTTGTTTAACATTGACAGATACTTCAATAGTGTAACATTTGTCTGCCGCATTCTGTGTTCTCTCAAGTGTTCAATGTTCCCCTCTTCATACTACACACCACGGTTGGGTTGCTCTCTCTCGGTCTGATGACCTGAAAACTGATAGGGCCTGGATAGCCACCACAATTACACAGTCCATCAATTATATTCAACCTTCTCCAAGCTCTGCTTACAGTATCTGAGCCCAAGGGAATCTACAGAATCAGTATGCATCCCTCCTCTGGTTTCATTGGATGTACTTTTTCAGCGTGGAGATGAATCATAAGATGCTTGCCGTCCTTTGTTCTCTCTGACCAGGCCGAGGTGAGTGCAGGCGTCTTGGCTGATGTCATCCGCTGTGTGCTCAGCGGCAGCGATGGATGTGTCCTGGGTTTGGGATGTGCTGATGTGGGTGAGTAATCGGTCGCTGTGAGAGGCCACGGGTTAAAATCTTAAGATGAGAGTGGGACGCTTTTATCTGTGCTCAGGGGCCATCCAACCCCCGCCCCCCCACCACCCTCGCTCCTCTCTCCTTATTCTGTCCCACCCTGCTATCATTCCACATCTTCCTTATCACTTAAACTACTTGTCCTCCTATTTTCCTCCTTCCTTCTCTTATCAATCTGATACACATTTCCAGCTCTTGTTCTTTCGCTTCCTCTCCTGCTCCATTTGTCTTCTTCTGTCTTCCCTTTTTCCACATAGTGACAGAAAAGTGTTGCCATTTAAACCCTCTCCTTCTCAGTCATTCATCTTTCACCTGTTACTTTGTAAATGAAAGCCTATTCATCAATTATACAAGACATATGCGTTTTTAAAAGCGTCCCATTGCCTGATAGACACATCAGCATGCTGCACAAAAATACACAAATATTTTATTTTATTTTGTTGAAACACTGAGCTCAGAGGGGACTGTCAACAAAATGGACAATAATACGTTGCTATTAGAGAGATGAAACCCTGCACTTAGGGTCGGTGAAGAGGTTTAATAGATTTGTGGCGTGCACATACACACACACACAGGGTAAGGACAGGGTCTCCTTGGAGCTGCTTTTTCACATGACGCCACTCTCCGTAAATCTGATTGAATTAGTTGGCCAATACAAACTACATGTGGCCCACAGCCAGGGGATATCAATCTCCTCCACAGAATACTATTCTCTCTGAATAACGGCAGGCAGCTTGGCCTTTAATTGGAGTAAACCAATTCTCCTATCCTCATTCAATTAGAGTTTGGATAAGACAAGAGAGGGTAAAACAGGCCCATAACTCAAAAATAATGTGGGGCAAAAGTGCATTTGGAGATACAGTATGGTCTCAGTCCAGAAGAAAATCTGAAACTGTTTGTGGGTGTGTTTCTGTCAGTCTGCTCCATCTTTATTTGTGTTTTTTTGTCAGTTTATTTATTTATTTGTGTAAGCTAGTGCACTAGTTTGGATCATACTCATCTCAAAGTGTATATTGTATGTGCTGATGCGGTGCCCATGTGTTTAAAGGCTAGCAGGTGCATGTATATGTAGTATATGTATGTGTTTCTGTATGTAACATGCATACATCAGTGTGCTCTGTTGTCTGCCTCAGGCTCCTGGTCCAGCATGGTGGGGAGCGGTGAAAGCATCCAGAAGCTCGGGCTGATTCCCTGTGCCATCTCCTGGCTGTACAGTGCCATCGAGCGGCGGAGGGAGAAGACCTGGACCGATCTGACTGTATCCGTGTCTGCTATAGAGCTTTGCTGTGGAGAGGAGGACACACTAAGGGATCTGCTGGGGGAGGTTGTCCCCTCATTAGGCAGTATCCAGGACAGCCCAAAAGCCCATATTAGACTTCAAGAGGACCCCATCTATGGGATTCAGGTAGAAGGACAAGTGTTTTTATTAGGAAAAAGAGGTCTTTTTAAATAAACTGCTGTGTCTCTGTCGCTCTGTCTAAGCGCAAGCACACAAGGCTCCATTGATCCAAAATGTCAGGATATTCCTGGAAGAAGAAAATAATCCACCTTAAAACCAAATAGAATTTTAGTTATTGTCGTCGGTATGATTACAGTGTAATCAATCTTTGGTAACAGAATAGAAGACTGTCCCAAATCTGGAAACCAGAGAGCCGTGGCTATATTATTAGTTGCTGACGAATGAGAATTTCTTGGCTCTGCTTAACTGCCAATGCACTGCAAAGACTTTAAGAGTTTAAGAATTCATACACAATAAGAGTTATTTTACAGTTGTTTTAATAGCTGAGGTAGTTTTAGTATGAAATTTCAGTGACTATGTTTACATGCACAAAATATTATGTTTTTTGCCCTTATTCTGAAAAGGACACTGTCCTTACTAAGCTGTTAACATGGCTAATAATATATTCCACTAATCGTCTCATTTACATGCGGCTGTGCATACTACAATTAACCTTAACTGTTAACAATGTACTGTACGTCTTGTGGAAGAATTTCTGGTGCCTGAGCCATTTTGCCTCTGCATCAAATAAGGATTCTTCCACTGTTGACACACTTGTTCGACAGTGTGAACACAGCCTCCCTCTTTCTTCTCCAACTTTTTTAAAAGGTTATTGTTGCCATATTTGAGCATATTCAATACCCTGTTGATATCCTAGTCTTTCATAATGTTTAAGAGTAGGTGTGTAATGGTCTACACAGTATGTGAGAAGATAATAAGTGGTAGCGAGTGAAGCCTATTACATTGCATAAACGATTACATCTGATTGCATTATGATTGTGCAGCTGCCTCCTCCCACGCACTAATGTTTGTCAATTGTAAGCCACCACCTCACTGTGCAATGCATTTCCCTCTATTTCTTCACTCAATACTATGAAAATGAAACATACTGTACCAATGGAGCTGTTATTCCAAAACATCCTGTTACTAAAATAACATCACAGTAAACACTGGAAAATCTCAGAAAGAGCAAACCTCTGACAAGTCTAAGCTACTTAATGTGTTACTTTAATAACAGAACACACATAGGGATAAACAATAGTGGGATACATGTTGTAGATTGACAGAAAAAAAATAAAATGGCAGATGGTTTTCATTTCAGTAGTTTATAAGAAGATTCCCTCCACATGAGATTTATGACCATTTTCTCTCCTCCCTCCAGCTACGTAACCACAACCGGGTGAAGGCCCCCACTGCTGAGCGGGCTGCTTCACTCCTGGATGCGGCCATTGCAGCACGTCGACACAGTGACTTCGTTACATACCTGTCCCACAGCTCCATAATGTTCTTCACTCTCCACGTCCAGCCCCCTCGTACAGAAAGCAGCACCATTGGCAAAGGTTGTAATGAATTATTCAGTTACCAGGGCGGCTTGTCCCCAGTGAATTTGTTTTTTACACATGAATTATTTTCCACCATTAACCCTAAATTCACTGCTGATTTAAAGGTCCAATGTGTAACATTTAGGAAGATTGATTAGCAGAAATTGAATATAATGTTCATACGTATGTTTTCATTAGTGTTTAATCACCTGAAAATAAGAGTTGTTGTGTTTTTGTTACTTTAGAATGAGCCGTTTATATCTACAGTGGGGGCAGGTCCTCTTCTAAGAATTCCACCATGTTCAACTGCCATGTTTGTTCAGTAGACCAGAATGGACAAAGCATGCACTGGCTCTAGACAGGACCTTTCTCGTTTTGTGCGAGTTTTGCAGCCACTGTAGTCTCTCCAAGCAAGCAAGCAAGCTTGGATGGTTTAGTTGTATTGAAATGGCTGCAATCTGCCACTTCACTGCTAGATGCTACTGAATCCTACACACTGTTTCTTAAATGCAGTTTAATATACATACTTATAATTCTTGTGTTCTTTATTTGCATATTTGAAAACTTTCTAAACTTTTGGCATTTATGCTTTCCTCTCTGATTTCCATCCGTAGGTTCACGTGGCCCCACTAAGTTGACCATGATAGATGTATGTAGTGGTATGAGGGGTATAAACAAAAATAAACCTCCATATTCTGAACTGGGCCCTGTTGTCTTGTCTCTACTAAGTGGACATAAGCCCACCCCCAACAAGTAAGAATGTGTCTTTAAAATGCTATTTAAGTAAACATTTTGGCATATGTTGGTGTAGAGTTAACCGTTTCTAAAAATAGTCTTTTTCTTGTTAAACCATTTTATACTGACTGAAAAAGTAAAAAAAATACATCCAAATGTAGACTGATAGATTTGGCATATATTCTGTGAGTTAATGGACATTTGCACTGTCTCTACTTAGGGGTAGTAAGTTGACTATGCTCCTTCGAGAATCCTTGGGCCATGTTAATTGCCATACCACACTGATGGCTGAGGTTGCTGATTCTCTGGCACACCTTCAAGAGACCTTATCCACCATCCAGCTGGCTTCTCGCATCCGCAGGACGCAGAAGAGGACGAAGGTACCATAAATGCCCTTTAACCAACAACCTTTTAATGGGATCATATGTTGGTGACCTTTTTGTAAAGGATGTGATAAGTTTTAGAATTTCTGTTTCTATCTATTTTAAAACGTACTGTACATGTTATGTTTTGGATAGTCCAGTTCTATAACTAACTCCACAATTTATCTTCATCTAACAGCAGTCCACCTCATGTTCTCCATCCGGGAGGAGTTTGACTAAAGATTATGAGAGAGGACCTCAGTCTTTGTCCCTGCGGGCATTCCACTCCACTGATGAGGTGGATGCTGACATCCCTCGTTTCCGTTTGCGTGGTGAACTGGATGAGCGCTCCAGTAGTGACCAGTCCTGTGACACAGTCATCCAACTAGACTCCGATGGCTTGGTCCAGTCCAAAACAACCTCAAGACTGGCACAACCTGAATTTGTGCCCATCATACCCTCTTTGCATCCTAACAAGGCTGACATGGATGACCCAGAGTTTACTGCTCTGCTCCAAGAGCTTCTGAGAATTCCTCAGCTGCAGGCAGAGAAGAAGTCTGAGGAAACTGTTCAAGGGAATATTGAAGTGCTGAAAGCAGACATAAAGAAACCAGGGAGGGACTGTCTTAAATGTGACACATTTGCTGAACTTCAAGAGCGCCTGGGCTGTATCGATGGAAGTGAGACAACAATGGATGTGCTCAAGTCTTTCTTAAAAGGGCCACCTGTTAACAATGTCACAACCAAATCACAACCCCAGAAAGAAACAAGGAAACAGGCAGACAGTGAATCATCAGAAACACCACAGACATTTTTGAATCAGGGGTTAGGTTGCAGTCAGACCTCTGTTGTAGAAAAGCAAACAGATGGCACCTTCCCCGGAGACAGTTTTCAGAGAGAAGATTCGGGTCTGTATGACTGCGAGGAGTGCAGTGCAACCAGTTCCAGTGAGGAACTGCTGAATCAAACTCACAGTCTTAACAAGACGAGTTGCTCTGAGCTTCCCAGAAATGGCCCTCATAAGTCAGATGATAAGCTCTCTTCTCAAGACTTTAATGTTGATGCTCAGGGCATGGCCATCACCAGTTCCCTTGCACCTACAGGTAAACAGGGGAGTCCTGAAGCTGCTGATTGGTTCAAACCAGACAAAAGGACCTCACCAGTTGGCAAGAGCTCCCCCATATCTCCTTCCTCCTCCTGTTCCTCTTCACACTCCTTGGCTACCAGTGTGATAGATGTCTTACCTAATCAGCCCATAGAGGACATTAAGGAAATGAAGGCCACTATCACAGTAACTGTTCAACAGCCACTGGACCTAAAAGGTCAAGATGAACTTGTCTTCTCCATGGTGGAGGAGGTGACCATCAGTGGAGCATTGAACAGAGGGAGGACAGGTGGAAACATTATTTGTATCAGAGATACTGCCCAATCACAGAGTCATGTTCAAGGCTCTGCTAGCTCTCAACCGATCAGGATAATCAGCAATGTCAGCGAAGAATCTGTAGCTGCAGGTTCCTCTAATACAAACAAAAACTCTGTAGTTCAATCTGTTGCTACAGAGGCTAAAACTGAAAATCCCCAGTATCAATTCAGGAGGGAAAAGAAGTTCTTACCTTCCTTTATAAATCCCATGCTGATTAATACAGATATGGATTGTGAGTTGGATGGTGCGAAAGAAAAACAAAGTCCTATTGACACTTTTACAGGTGCCAAGTCGTGGTCTGAGTTAAGAGGGAGCGATGTCAAATGTCCAGATGATAGGAAGGCTCTTGAGAAGAGGACCGGGGCGTGTGCGTCTGAGACACATACCAAAAAGTCTGACAAAGTATGTGACTCGTCGTATGACCCAGTGGTTTTGGAAGATTCAGCTTTCTGTGATGAAACTGCAGAAAACAAAATGTGTGGAAAGAGACAGAGAAATAAAGACAAGAGCCACTCTAGAGACAGGGAGCATGTTTGTTCCACTAACACTCCAAGGGGCTCAGAAGGGGGAGAAATCTGTTCCAGACGGGTTGGGAATGCCCTCAAGAGAATTGGTGCTTCACCTGGTTGCCAAGAAACCACCCCTGCTTCCTTTAAAGCTGGTAGTTTGCCTAGAGGTTGGCAAAATGCCAGCCACCAGGACAGCTACCATGGCGGTTACATGACAGACAACCACAGAGACCCAAGGGGGGTGACATCATCCACCCCGTGTAGCCCAAGGGTAACTTTGGAGAGGAGGCAGGGCAGACAGCACTCCCCAGCGAACCACAGCCTCCATGTGTCCTCTCCTCGGAAATATGGAGCAGAATACAAACAGCATTCTAGTAGTGCTCCCAGAAAGAGTATTGAATGTTTGTTTGAGACCTCAAGTACAAGAATGAAACATGATCACATGAGTGGGAGGCCAAAGTCACCCATTGAGGACAGCAGCAGGCTTTTCAGTGCCAAATTGGAGCAGCTGGCTACCAGGACTAATTCCCTTGGTAGAACCCCGAGGGACTTCCCAACTCTGGATAGAGATAGTAGTAATAACTCTATGAGCTCTAAGGGAAGCTCTAAGGGAAGTACTGAAGGTGCTTGTAAGGGAGGTTATAAAGGACGTAATGAAGGAGATTGTACCTTACCAAGGGCTAGCCGGAGCCCCAGGAAGAATCCTCGGTCTGATCAGAGTCATCACTTCTTTCCCTCTGAAGACCCTTTAACTCAGTCTGCTAGGCATACCCATTCCAAGCTTTCTGCTGTGGGGAAACTTAAGATGGCTAGCCCCAAAGTCCGTCGCCTGTCTGCCCCCAGTATCAAGAACCTCAGTCTCCCCCACAAAAGCCTGCGGCAGTCCATTAACCGCAGTGCCAGTCTTTCCCCAGATGGCAAAACTGTTAGCTTTGAGCGGACATCCTCCTTTCTTTCCTCTTCCCCTCCACGGTCGTTTCCCTCCATCAGTCGAACTCCGAGCCAGAGCTCCACATGCTCATCCACGAAATCTGCCATCCAGGGGTTTGTCAATGGCCGGATCTCAGACCTCCTTAAGGAAAGGGCCTCCAGCCCCACTTCAGGAGGACTGGACCACATGATAGCAGTTCCCTCACCATACAGCCGGGTGACTGCTCCCCGCACACCTGATCACCTGAGTGGGCATGCGAGTGACACCACTAGTGTGTTGAGTGGAGATTTACCACCAGCTATGGGGAAGACATCCCTGCATTTCTCCAACAGGAACAGTTTGGTGAGCAGTGGATATGATAGCATGGTAAGGGACAGTGAAGCCACAGGCAGTAGCACTTCAAACAGAGATTCTGTCAGCGACAGAAGCGGCTCCCTCCTCAGTGTGGCTCGCAGCAGCCGATCATCTCGGAGGAGAGGCAACACAGGTAAAACACCTGGAAAAACCGGCCTTTAATGAACTGAACTGGAAGACTTTCTCTTCTGGAAAAATCTGAAGCTAATCCAAGTGCTGAGTGTGTTGTTGGTTTTAGGTGTTAGTGTAGTCTCAAAATAATCTAAAGTTAGCACGCATGTTGAGCTGATAACCCATAATAAACATTTTAGATAGATTCATATATTTTCATTCTCTTGAAGTAACTTGTTTCTATCAAATTCAGTAATATCAACTGGAAGTTATTATAATGTATTCCAAATTTTCTTTTACTTTTGTAATCTTTCTATCATTGGTCAATGGTAATGCAGTTGAGGGCTGAGACTTTTATAATTTGATGTTTTGAACATGTAATGTCCCAATTGTGTGCACTTTCACACCAATACAATTAAATGCAAAGGTAAAATTGTCAGATTAAAGTGCTATATCGTATCTGAAAAAAAAAAAATGGCAAATCCTATGGAAATTTGAGTCCAGTCCAGTATTGTATAAATTTTTTTCTCTACACATTCAGACAATTCAAACCAAACACTAAACCATTTTTTGGCTTGTAATTTGACCACATAACATATTAATGTGACATTAATTGGAGATGACACACATCTAGAGAAGGCAGTCAGACCTAGTTTCCTTACTGGCATTGAAAGCCTAATTGTGTAGGAGGTCACATCATTAATATATGAACCCAGTGATGGCACTTACCAATGGCAGCCAATACAGAAAATGAAGTGTGTTTGGCTGAAACAGTGAATTGTAAAAATGGCTGTGTGTATACTAACATTCTTGCTAATAGGTAAATACTGTAGCACTTAATAGCATTTTGTTGAAAACATGGTTAACACAGTGAAAACTGCTAATGGAGCAATTAAAATAGCAGACGAAGCTTTTGCTGGATGAGCATATGAAAAACATAATATATTATTAATTGGGTGATTCAATTCTGCCTGTACTTAATTTCTCCTTAAGTGTCTCCGTAAGTAATCAACTCTCTACTTTAACTAACTATAACTATTTTTTTCCTGTACTGGCCCACTCGAGTCAATCTAAAGCGAGTTACAGAAATTGTGTCTCCTGTCTCGACTTTTATGAATAATATGGTAGCCCTGGCAAGCTGCATTTGCCCTCAGGCAAACTACAAACACATGGCCTGGGCATTGAAGGCCACTTAGGAACCAGCCCTATGATACAAATTTACTTACAGTGAGGAGTGATGCTTTTAGTGTAGAGTGTTTGTTGATGATACTAATATAGCGGCTCAAGAATACAGCGTTAGCCACCTTGTAGATCCATGAGGAGCATAAGCAGGCTTTTTCATTTGTAAAAGTGTGACCTCAAAACAGCCTTATCTTAGTTCATGTTGCTGAATTTAAATTAATGCCATGTACTGTACATCTATTGCAAGAATACATTTGTATTGGTATGAATAAAGTTTTTAAATTGAGTGGCAGCAGTGGCTTCTCTTTGTGTCAGTATTGGCAAGTGATCATGCCAACACTAAAATTAAAATCAGAATAAAATGTAACTAAAATAAAATACTACCTTAAATATAGTTTGATTAGGTATCTTTTTTAAATTCAATATTTTCACTGTATGTGCAGTTTTAAAAGAGGAGGAAGAGAAAGAACAAGTTGAGATATAGCATCTCACCGCACTTTCTGCCTCACCCTGCTGTAGGTACTCACCAGCGTCGTCTTTCCCATGATACACCCCTGTCCCTGAGACGCTCGACTAGCGGTCTGCGGTCTCGCTGGGTGGATCGGGGAATCCCCGAGGCCTACGAGATCAAGGTCTATGAGATCGACAATGTGCAGAGGATGCAGAAAAGAGCAGGTGCTGGCAAACAGGTGCTGGGTTTATTTTGATTTTTTTTTTTAGGAGGTTAAAGGGCATAATGCAAAATATGACCTTTATCAACCTCTATTGGCAACCAGTGGGAACAGCTATGTTAGTAGATCGTATGTCCTCTTCTAGGGTCTCTAAAGCTCCTTTCAACAGGTTCCATTTTGGACCTCATTCAGGGTTAGCAAAGTACCTGCATTTTTCTAAGCTCTAATGCTAACAAATCTCATGTCAACCCTTCTGTCTATCCACACACTTTTATATTAGCAAAGAGCTATGTAGAAAACATCTTTATATTTTTTATTTTATGGCTATCTGACTATGGGCCATGCTAACTTTGCACTCACCACATCTACACAACTTATCCACAATGCTCATGTCACATTTAAAATGTCTATGACAACCAAAATGTGACCACCAAAGAAAAACCATAGACAGCTACTTGAAGCGTTGGAGGTTTTGTGTGTTCCACAGCCTCTAAGTAGACAAAGCATTCCTTTGCTTTAAAAAATCCTCTAAGCACAGCTCCTGTATTGGCGTAAAGGTTTGAGAAGAGTTTGTCTGGCGCGATCTCTTCGGAAAAATAACACCTCAAGGGCACACTATCAGAGTGCCCTTGAGAAAGGCACAACTTCTGCAGCGGACACAAATAAAGACCGTGCTTGGGCAGCTGTCAGGTTTCATGTGTGAGATATTGTAGAAGCGGCATGACATATAGCAGTGAATTAACCCTGGGTAAGTAAAGGTTGGATAAAAGATTCCACTTGGCATTTACAGTTCGAATGTGCTTAAAAACAAAATGCATGTGATGACGTAATGCCCCCATGACGAGCAGTCTGGCCTCAAGAGACTATTCCCCGCCTCCACCAGTCTCAGGCAGGCAACTTTTATACAATTTTAATGACCACATGGGGGAAAATTGGGTCAATGCTGCTGCAAAGGACAAAGAACAACACTGGAAGTAAAACCAATATAACACGTTGTTGGTAAAACAGAAGACTTTTAAAAGAAAAAAAATAACTGAAGTCAATAGAAGAGTTATAAAAACAATGGCAGCGCTCCATTCTTCATATTTAGAGGTTTTCTTTTGTTTCCCTTCACAGTATGCATGTATTGACCTTTGAAACTGTCCCTTACGTGTAATAAGGTTAGTATAACTGGAGAGTAATTCCATTTTCTACCCTAAAGACATGTCTGGTCTCACTCCCCAGAGGTGTCTCTGCCCTAACACGGTGTTTATGATGTGGTGTGTGTAAGTGTGTGTGTGTGGTGTGTGTGTGTGTTGTGGAGAGAAAGAGAGAGTGGGGAGGTGCTGTTTGTTCATCCAGCCTCTAAAAACAGTCTTTTGTTGTGTGCTGTGTGTGTGTGTGGAGGAGCTAAACACTACTGGAGGCAATACACCACATGTTGTTCATTTTTAATGAGAACAACAGTAGCAAAAGTTAAGTTTTAAAAATACAAGCTTTTTCAAAACTATTATGTGCTATATGAACATAAATAAAAGAAAGTAGTGAAATGTGTGTATGTGTTTGTGTTTTCAGGGGCCTGCATGCTTCAGTGCCAAGCTGAAGTTTTTGGAGCACCGTCAGCAGAGGATCTCAGAGGTCCGGGCCAAATACAGCCACCTGAGGAGAGAGCTAGAGCAGGCCAAACACAACCTCATGCTGGAGCCCGCCAAGTGGAACCAAGAGTGTCAGTCAAATTATTCTTTCTTTGAAGAAATAAGCATGCAAAATATTATTTGTCACCTTTTGAAAATTACAGTAAATCCATATTGGACCACATTTTGTTATACATTTAACAGATTCGCTGTCACAAAAGATAACCTCAGGAATAGAATGTAAAAAATCTCTACCTATCAATTAGGGCTGCGACTACTGATTATTATATTATATAATATATAATAAAATGATTATGATGATACTAATGATGTAATGTTTTATCTTATTAATTAATTAATTCCTTTTCCTATGAAATAAAAAAACACTTTTCCACAGGACATGGTAGCATAAATAGCTTATTTTGCCAAAGATATTGAATTAACCAGCCTTTATGACAAAGAAAAGCAGCAGAACACACAATGGGTTCATTCAAAACATTAATAGATTATCAATTTTTTTTTATCAACTGAACATTTCATTGACCAATTGTTTACTTTCAGTGAATGAGCAAATAATGAGCTTGTAGTATGACAGCATTTCAACAGGGGGCAGTATGCTGCTATTACTAGGGCAAAATCCAGGGTCCTCATTATCATCATTAGCATTATCCTCAGCACTCTTTGTAATTTCCTGCTATAGCACATTATATTTTTTGCTTTGTACACAAAGTGCATGGTGCTTTTAGGCAACATGGGGCAAGACTGACACTGGTAACCACCCCAGAGCAACAGTGGAAAAGCAACCTTTAAGATAAGATAAGATAAGATATGGGAGTGTCTTGAAATACCAATAATTGGGGTGGGTTTGTGCCAAAACTGCATACATGTTGTGTTTTGAAATTAGGAATCTCAGCATCCTGTGAAGTATTTATTAGAGTCATTGGTTGGCTATGAGGCAGCAAATGATCGTCAATATAATATTCTCTTTAAACAATAGCCCCATATAGTTATACACTGGTTAGTACCCTTTACCTCACAGTCTGCCACCTCGCTGTCCTCTTCTAGTCGACCTGTGGCAGACCTTCGAGGTGGACTCCCTGGAGCATCTGGAGGCCCTTGAAGTGGTGACAGCTCGGCTGGAGGACAGGCTCAACCTCTGCAAGGCCAATGTCATGATGGTCACCTGCTTCGACGCCGCCACCAGGAGGAGGCAAAAGAAGCGCCGGCGAAAAGCGCCAGAGCAGAGAGCCTTGAAGGGAATCCGAGCTGAATTCTAGTGAGAAGTGAAACATGGTTAAATAGGAGTTAAGGACTCTTATGTTGTATGTATCTAGTACACCTGCTACCTATCACTGTTATTTTGTGGATGATGAATTCAAAATGTGTACATCCAACACACACTTTAACTTAATTCAAATGTTGTGTTCTCAACTACCGTGTAACCTCTGGTCCCTTTAAATTAACCAGGTGCTACAGATTGAGATTTTTGCATGGAGGTCAATGGTCAGAGCTGCAGTCTTACAGCTGGCAGGACAACAAACAACAAAAAAAAAGTCCCATTCTGTTATCCGTCATTAATTACACTACAGACATGCAAGTTCTCTATTTGTAATTTAAATTTGGTTATGCTTTTTTTTTTTTTTTAGCATTGTACAGTATATTTAAAACAAGCAGTTCAGCTCAGTGCAGCATCTGATGCTAACAAGACATTTCAGTGTAGCTAAAGGACAAATATTGTAACCTTTCCTCTCCTGGCAAAGAACCTGTTGAATATTCAGATCATAAAAATTTGCTTTGAGGTGCTCGAGGAGCAGAGACTTTGGGTTTGATATAGACAGCGCACTTGATACTTAACATTTGTGTAGGGTTACTCATTGAGCACTTTTATCACTTTGTTAATGATTTCACTCTTTTGAAGCAATTTCTGGAAGATCTAATGCATAACACAACGTCTTTGCTTGCAGACAACTGTTGGAGCAAAAGTAGTTACTACGTTATTTAGAAAACCTTTTTATCATACATACTGTTTTTAGCTTCTTGTCATTTCTACCAATTTGGTGATCAAATGTGTTAATGAAACTTAAAGCAGTCTCAGACTAATAAAATGATTAGTCTGCCTTATAAGTTGTTATTTTCTAATGAGCGTTCAAAAGGGAATATGCCATTTTGTATATAGATTTTGGTGCTGAATACAATTTGAATCTTTTGAAACTAATGTAAAAATGCTTCCAGTGAGCTGTGGAAACAGTGACTCTGAGAAGGGGAGTGAAGGACTGAAGGATGAGCTTTAAGTTCTTTGAAGTTACTGCCAACTGAAACACCACTGTGAATGTTTAACTCTGTTCAGAGTACGGGTGGCCAGTGATCAATAAACTGGCTGCTAAAACACATTAGTGAATGATCGGCAGCAGAATAAAAAATGTGGAATCTACTCTCAGTGTAATGGAGGAGTAATTAGATTAAAGGAATAACGTCATTGTGTCTGAAGAGCCTCGTGGCTCTGAAGTCATTGAGCCACTAAGAGAGGATGGACTGATGCATAGTAATCAATGCACAATGCTAGGTTTTCTACCTGGATCAATGCATTTAAACTTACAGGGAACACACACACACAAACACACACAATGGATGTCTGTTTTGTGAATCCTATTAATCAGCATGTTGTACGTCACTGTTAATAAATGACCACAGCTATTTTCCGTGTTTGTAGACATTGCAAATTGTGCATCCTCTGATCTGCGAAAATTAAAGTCATTATGCAGCTCCTGCCTATGCTTGCATCACATTTGTTTGTCTGTATGTGGTGATCAGACTATGCATTTCATTTGTATGTACTGTATGTATGTATGCATGTTTGTGCAAGTGTGTGTGTCTGTGTGTGTGTGTGTGTGTGTGTGTGCAAAGAGAGAGGTGCAATATTACAACAGCAGGTTGACTTTATGCCATCCAGTGAAAAGGTAATGAGAGTAAGCAGAGCTGAGCCCTACAGCAGCCCAATTATAAAGACAGACTCATTACAGAAGAGTGAGAGAAACACACACACACATACAAATATGCTTCCTTCCCTGACTTCGCCCTGCCTCTCTTTCTGCTTCACTTCCTCATTGTTTAGCTTTATTTCAAGTTGCATAAACGTGAAAATCACAGTCATTCATTCATGCCGAGAAAACAGACACACACACGCTGAACATCTATTTTGGGATGAGGATGTGGGAATGGTGTCAATTTAGGTTTACACGAGTAAATTACGGTGCTATTCATTTGAGTGTTGTAAGAAGACAATGTTACACCATTTTCTGCCTCTTGGAGGTTTAGGATCTTAATCTTATTCAGCAAAAAGCAACTGATACTGTAAGCTTGTTAAAATACATTAAATATAAATTTATTTTACATGTGTTAAGGAGTCAACCAACATCCCATTATTTACAACTGCTTTTAACTGATTTTGTAAAACTGGTAAATATTCTGTTAATTTGGGTGCCTGGTTAGCTCAGTCGGTAGAGCTGGTGACCTGTATACGCAGTGGCCCGGGTTCGAGTCCAACCTGTGGTCCTTTGCTGCATGTTGTCCCCTCTCTCTTTCTCTCTCTCTCTGTCTTCCCTTCCTGCTTCTACCCAACCATCTCTATCAAATAAAGACCTAAAAAGAATACTTTAAATATTCTAATAATTTAATACATTATTCTAATTATTTCCCATTTCTATACATCAAAAAATATATGCTAATATATGTGGTAATAAAATTGTTATAACATCCTCAATTTAAATATCTGAGCTAGGAATTTATTTGACACATTTTCAACACATTAGGAAGTTTTCTGGGATTTACCTTAACTAAAAGGCAATTCCGCCAAATTGGTTATATTTCAAATTGGTTCCATTTGCATGCTGTAACTTGTCAAAATTAAACTTCATTCTTTATCTTTTTTCAGCACTGTATCTAATATCATACACGTTTAACTTTTTAAAATGTGTAATTGTCAATATCAGGCCATTTTACATGTTCCCTTAAAAGAAGATTTACATTTTTTGTAGCAAGACTAAAAGTAATAGGACTTTTTACACTTTCAGCAAATACATCAAAGAGCTGCATCAAAAATAATAAGTGTGATAACCCCTAGCACCTGGAAGTAGTTCTAAAATGATCTTTTAAAAAAATTAGGTATCAGGACTTAACGTTAATAATAATATTCTCTGACAGACAGAAAATAAAGTGAGAGAAGTTACTGATGGTCTTCCCCCTGGCCAAGACAGCAATGATTCTATTACTGTTGATCAGGTGACCCAAATCTTTGGAGGGGGGTAACAGCTATAGGACTGAGTGAAATCCTGGGGACACAACTAAAATGTGTATTTTAACTAACATTTTGTGAATTTCCAATGAAAAATAAAGTATTTAATGTCTAAATTGGAAATAGAGCCACACAATAATGCAAAAATCATTATCTAATAATTATATTTCATGGTAAAGTGAGAGTGGGTACCGGCTAAAATCTTATTTTTTCAGTGTTCTAAGTAGTTTTATTAGGATTTTACATGTTTCTTCAAATTGCAATTAGAACAGAGAGCAAGACACTTTGCTTATTAATATAATGTATTATACAGATAGATTTTATGCATATTTATGCATGTAATAGGGGTGGCACTGATTCGGCGGAATGGCTCTAAAACTAATCAAGCAATATGTGTCTCTAATTCAATAATTCAAATCCCCGAAGAGAGCCTCTAACATCCAATCTCTGTACCAGAGTGTTGCACTGATTTACATGATCTTTCTGAAAATAAAATGACGGATTTGAGGTATTTTATCCTTTAATGTTTGTTGCTATTATACACTGAGGGTCTAACACTGAGTGATGAATACATATACCACAATTATCCTGACTTTCTGACATGTACCTCATCAATCTGACAAGTCTAATGCATTTCTTATTCTGCTTATGTAACAGTAACAATACAACGCAAAGCCCGTGTACATGTTCACTGTCACCCTTGTAAGCCTCTGTACGGTTTATCATCATATGACCGCTTCATCTGCTGTTACATAACCACTGACACCCCAGCCACGAGCCAGTGTGACACATCTGCCACAAGATGGCAGCCTCCGCCACACGGTGAAATAAATATATAAACATGACATGTAGGAATATACATTTTGCAATGAGGGGAAGCAGAAAAAAATCCCCGGATTGGACCGTAAACAAGAAGCACGAGAGAGTGTGGGAGACGGACAGATGACAGAGTGAGGCAGATGTGGATCCTGCTGGGGGCCGACACGGAGGAGGAAAAACACCTCGACGCTGTTGGAGGGCGTTGATGTTCACACGACAAACTGAGACATCATCCAGCGGTGAGTGCGTCTCTCCATCCTCCGTCCTGTGCTCTGTGTAATTATGTGACATGAACTTACAGAAAAGATAGCAGCCTACAGGGAGGTTTGGATATCTGTGTACCTTAGCAGAAGGGACTGCTTTAACCCCAGAACGGATTTAAGATGGATGTCGCAGATTAAAAAAAGGAAGTAGCGACTGTTATAGCAGTATTATAGGGGCAGCAGGAGAGAAATCATAAGGATGCCATGGTGTGTGTTTGAACTTTCCACCTTCCAGCCGTTAAAGTCCGAGTGGTGAGTATGATAAAAACAAGGTCGCACATTGATGTAGGCAGTAAAAAAAATAACGTTTAATTGAGCGCGAGGTTTCGTAGTGCACGACAGCGTCAGCGGAACGCGCCCCCGATGCACGTGTTCACTTTGCGTAACGCAGGCACGTGCACACGCACGCACACTCGGCCACCCACTTGTGCTACAGACAGGAAATTAATTGAAGTCACAGTCAACTGTGGAAACAATAGCAGTAACAGAAAGCTGTTTATATTTTCACAGCAGTTGTAGTTGAGTGTTTTACAGTTTTTACATTTTAAAGTGCCACACTGGCTGGGAGAAGGGGTTTAATGGTGGGTGGTGGCAACAGAAGACAGAGTTGTTGCCAAGCTACAGGGTGTTGCTAGGCTATATTTTAAAGGAAGATTTTTGTCAATAATATGGTCTCATAAATATAAATGATCATATTATTGTGTAGCATTTCTCAGCACATTATTTTGTGAAAGTGGAATATTTGTGAT